GTGCACTGAACATCTGTTCTGTTACAGGTTTAAATCAGTTTCTGATCACTTAAACCGGTTTATGTGTAATGTCTGTCCCTAGCCTTATTCAGCTTTTAAAAATCAGTTCAAGCATATGGACCTTCAGTCGATAGATTGTCGTGTAATATTACAACTAACACCACTAGGCAGCTGGCAAATAGGCCAAAATTGTTGTACCTAACCTACTCACTTCATCTGGAGGAAGACCATCAAGTTGCATTATTTATCTTCATACCTATGTTGTAAACCAAGAATGGGACTCAAAAGTACATAGCCTTATTCTACCCTAATGGAAATCAAGGGGAGTTTTACCAGAGTTTCCAATAGCAGGAGGAAAAAAGGGTTGGAAATAACTAGAATAACTGAAAAAATCAAATGTATGATTCATTTTAAATGAAAAAGGGGGTTTTGATATAGGCTTATTCAAGTAGAAAGATATTTTGTTATTGTTTGGAAATATTTCACTGAAAAATCAGAAAGGTCAGCAAAAAATCCAAAAGAAAAAAAAGATTTAAAAATGTTTTTTCCTAGAAAAGATTTTTTTTTTAAAGCTAACTCTACTAACCCTTCCATATAATCTTGCAAAGTATTAAGGGCTAGCCTATAATGTAGTTTTAGGTATCCAGAAGGGCACTGTAGGCAAGTCCTAAAAGGAAACAATGAAAGTGGTTTGATAAGACCCAGACAGATAGGTAGAACATTTTATATCATAGAGATTTCAAATGTTTTCTATAAAAGATAGATACACTTAGAGCAATGACTGTACAGATCAAAATGAAAATTATAATATATGCTGCAGCAACACTAAACTGAGCAATATAAACTGTTGTACTCTGAGGGAGGATGCTAGCAAGGGCAGTGGTAAAATTCTTTCTCCTTGCTTTCTAAGTGGTAACCAGGTGTTACTTGGGAATCTCAGTTCCCTTGGGTTTCCCAAAGGAATTCCATCTCAGGTTCCAAAAGACCTAAGAACCCTGTGATCTTTAAATTTCAACTAAGTAGTTTCCGTAGGACAGATTTAATTAGCCAACTTAATTATTCTTGCGAAAGACAAAACTTCTAGCTATGCAGCCTCTTCCCATTTCTTTGCCCCATTACTAAGGTTGAATACTTTTAAGTCTTTTTTTTTTAGCTTTACTGGGCATATGCCTTGAAAGTATTCGTTTTAAACCTAACACTTAACCATGAAATTGTAAGCTTGAATTTCACTTGTGTATGCAGATACACATTAGCTTGTAATAAGTATCTATCAAACATTCACAATAACTCGCATAAAGAAAACTAAGTCCATCAAAAAAGACCTCCTTACTTCAACATCAGGTTGTAAGGATGCTGTCATCATTGATTCCAACAGCAGTTGAGCAAATTTAATGTCCTAAAACAAAAAGAGCTTGTTCTTTCCATTGATTCAAATCTTGGCAGGAAGCAAAGGACCTGCTTCAGTGCCCTCATACAAGATCACATCAATACTTTTAATTTTTTTGTCTTAGTTTGATGGCCAGATGTAGATTAAGAGGGGAAAAATGAAATTCTATGACCTTCAGAACAGACATCCCTTGTACTGAATGGAGCCATCTTGAATCCTTTCATGGGGTCCATCCCTTGAGTGAGGACAGCATTAGAATGGCCATAATGTGTGCTTCCAAACCTTGATGTCCCTGCTAGGAAATAGCAACACCTCAATTGAATTGTGAAGTCCAGAAAAAAGTTTAAGTTGGGGTGGGGGGGAAATGATAATTTAACAGAGAATTTCAGAATGCTAAAACATTATGAATACAGGAAGTAAAATCCACCCCCCCCTAAAATGCCAATTAATAAATTAATTAAGGGCTTAAATCCAGCGGTTTTTTAATTTCAATCAGTGTTTTCTCTATGTGATTAGCATCAGTGCTTTTAATTTATATGTGAAGCCAGAAAAAGAGTAGGAATCCGATTGTATGGCTACTGTTACTAGGTAGTACTGTTTACCTTTTCCCAGTCCAGAGGAAGGTAGGAGGGGTTCTGGTTGTAGACTAGTTTAGCTGAGTACAGCAAAGCTGTGGGGAATGGCAATGGCAATGGTGAGCAGGGAGCTGAGGGCTGCTGAGTGAGGATATCTAACAGGTAGGCATATCCCACATCATGGATTCCTAAGGCCTACTATATATGTATATGGACCTCATAACCTTTTCTCTGCAATGCAGGGCAAGCCACATTTGTTGACAGTGCAAAGTGGGGAACACAGTGGAAGGGGAACTTGCAGAAATTACTTCTCCCTGAGACACTTCCTTACCTTAAAGGTTTTACCATGATAAAGGGTAATCCGGGTCCCTCTTTTTCTCTCCCCTTAGAAATCAGCAGCAAGGAGGCCTCATGTCTCTGCAATGGCTATGGGGCCGCACGAAGTCAGTGGGCACTGCCAGGATTTCCCTTGCTGATAGAGGAACCCAGAATTCAACATCAAACAGTGCTTCCAGAGCAGAAGGGATCTTATATAAAAGTTGGTGCAGTCCAAGAAAAGCACTGTTTAATGTCCTAGGGTGGGATTCACAAGCCCACAGCCCCTACACCTCTTTTCACTTGAAACCATCTGCTTTGAGAAACATCTATCCAGAAAGAACACTCTGCTCACAAAATCCTTCAGAGACTCCTCTAATGGAATTTGTCTCCCTCAGAAGACAAGAAGCTATCATCTGTGCAACTCCCTAGGCTTCAGTGGGATGCCTCATGCCAGCAGGAGACTCAGGATTGAGTACTTGAATAGCTAGCTAGGAATTTAGCTCCAATCTTTATTTCTGGGAGAAGAATATTCATTCATGTATGACACATCATGTTGGATAATGAAGACAGAGAAAGCAAAAATGCATAATTAAAATTATTCTTCTTTCAAGCAAAAAGCTAAAGGAGATTAAAGTTAAATTGTTATGAAAAAGGTGCCTTACTGGGTCAAGGGCATTGTCATCTGAATTCTAGAAACTCAGCATTCTTAATCAAGATATAGATTTAATGCAATAATATGAAGCAGGACTGAGTTTTCCAATGGGTTATCAAAATAGTTTCTTTTTGCTTTCCAGTGCTTCACACTTCGCACTTAGAAACCATTTTAGATGATCTCAGGACACCAATTAATGTTCTCATTATTCAGTTCAAGAGTGTGGTGAATCCCTTTGAGCTGATGTTCAAGAATACCCATTGTTACAATAACACTCTAGCCATGCACTTTGAGGGCTCTGTTTTCGTATGCATTACCTTTTCTCAACAGAGATAGGTGTCCACGCTTTACAGTATTCAGCTCTTCCATGAAGGAAAATATACTGTGTTTCCATCCAGGCTGATTTGCTTGACATATATTTTACAGAGGGCCTGACATTTGACCATAGCAAAACTCTTTTTTACTTTTTATGGAAGATTAATTGATCTTTGTTCTGCACTTTTTTTAAAACAAGTGACTTGCTTTTCTTGGACAGTTTTTGAGATCAGGCTTGATATTTCAAAATTGCTGAGGCTGATTATCCACTTACCATAATAGGAGTCAGTGACCAAATCCCTGTACACTTTGAAAAATCTCAGTCCTGCTCTTGAAGGCCTTGATTTTTGCAAAGACTTATACTGTGAATAGTCCATAGACCCATGTGTAAGTCTTTGCTGGATCAAGGTCCAGGAGAGAAATTTTGTTGAACAGGTTCTGGGCTCTTACCCATCACACAACTGCTTTTGTATATTTATTTTCTGGAAGAGAACAAAAATGCCTCTACACAGGTATTGAATCCTTACTTAGTTCAGTCATGCTAAGACCAGGCATTGAATAGAGTAATAGCAGGCATGGATATTAGAATATATTATTTGATATCAACAGAGGTTTAATACTTTCAAAAATACTGTTATTATTCAAATCATTATTATTATATCAATATTATTTCAAAGCATGATTGTTAATAATTATCAGGGATTTTATAAATGTATCTGACTCTGGCCAGTGCAGTCCAAAATAATGCAGACATTCAGTAGGATTTGTGTGTGCATGAAAATCTACATGGTCTTTCACACAAGGCTAGTGTGAATGGATAGCACACAATTTGCATGTCAGGGCACATCTACATGTGCACTTTAATGTTCATTATCTTATTTTAATACGCATTAAAGCATCGCAGAAAAACATGTTATTTAGCTAATGTGCATTAAAATAGGCTAATGCACACTTTTCTAGTACTTCACAATGGAGGTACTAGATTTAATACACATTATCTAAAATGTATTAATGAGTGTATAGATGCACCCACTGGGATGTTCAGATTTACTCAGGCTGGCAATAGGTCCATAGCCACTAGGTTCCATGGGAGTCCTTAGGGTAACAGAAAATACTCCATTGCTGTTTGTAAGGGGAAAATGCTTTTGGACTAAAAATCAATTTTTTTAAAGGATATTAGGAGACAAAAATGCCCAAAGTTGAAAAAAATACAATCAAAACTATGCTCAGTGAAGCAGTGAAAATCTGCATGCAAATTGATATTCCAGATTATTAAGCAATGATAGAGCCAGAAAGCAATATGTGTAAGGGCAGGGAATTAGACACACTACAGAGCAAAAAGTAATATTCATTGACTGAGCTGCAGTAAAGGAGATAAAGTGGTATATTATCTTTTGTGGGGGATAGGGGAGGAACAGTAGAATGGGAAGGTTTTGCTCCTGAGGCAGGCGATACAGTCAAGAATTTCAATAATGGAAACCTAAGGCTTCATTCTTAACTGTAGAGTTAGAATAAGTGGCTTTGTTTTTAAAAGCACTGAACACCCAACAGCATCAACAGGAGTTGCAAGATGTCCTTCAGGTTTGGAAATCAGGCCACGCAATTAGGCCCCCATAAAAAAGATTTAGGGGATAACTTTTAGGTACACATTGCTGACAGTCTTGGCCCTCAATCCTTACCAGGGTAAGTTCTGGTGACATAGTAAAATAAATACAGATCTTTCAATAAGCTTCTATTGGTTTGTTTTTCTTAGGCCAAATTCACAGAAGACTGCAAGTTCAGGGAGAGGTTTCAAGAGAACAGCTATAACACATATGCCTCAGCGATTTATAGGACTGAAAAGACTGGGAGAGAGTGGTATGTGGCTTTGAACAAAAGAGGCAAAGCTAAAAGAGGCTGCAGCCCCCGAGTGAAACCCCAGCACATATCCACCCACTTCCTTCCAAGGTTCAAGCAGTCTGAGCAGCCAGAGCTTTCTTTCACCATCACAGTTCCTGAGAAGAAAAAGTCACCTGCCTCCACTCCAGCAAAACCAAAGGTTTCATTGTCTGTGCCTCAGAAAAATCCCAACACTGTCAAATACAGACTCAAGTTCCGCTTTGGATAGCTGTGCACCTGGGCGAGAGCGAGGAACACTTTTCTCAGGAGCTGCTGGGGTGTGTGTGTGTGTGTGTGTGTGTGTGTGTAGGCACGTGTGCAGGGGTGTGGACGAGTTCTTAGCCTATGATGGCAGAGAGGTCTGTATTGTGCTTAACTGCATTAGGAGGTCAGACAGGGAGAAACCCATTTGTTTCAGTTTGATCCCAGACAAATTGGTTTTTGATAGTTAAGTGTGTTACCTGAACTGGAATTCTTCATCTAGCCCCAGGGTGAAGAGCACTATTTCAGTTCAGATGAACATAAAGGCTTTAGTTTTTGCCTTAAATACCATTCTTGTTTTTTCCTACTCTCCAAAGCATTGCAATGGTTCTGTACATTTTGAAAGTGTACATTGGAACATTTTAACTTTTCCTTTCCAAAGAAGATACTTTTAATGATAAAATATTTAATGGACTTTTGTGGTAGTTGAAAGAAACAAAAAAGGTACCTCTACCTTGAACATATTTTTCTTACTTTTTCAATTAAGGACACTTTTTACAGTCATTTGCATATGAGGAATTTGTTCAGAGTCAACATATATGGATTTCTTTTTCCTACTTCTCTTTTTGCTGCACTTTTGACTTCTGACTATACCTCAAACACTGTACATTCAAGTCTGCATTTTTGAATGTTTTATTTCCCTTCTTTTTACAGCTCAACTTATTTAAAAAAAAACCATCTTTACATAGTAATTTATACCAGGATGTTAAATCTTCTTGCTTTTATTTGTAATGGATTTTTTTCCTTCGCTGAGGAAGATAATAGGTTTCAAACTTGGAGAAGAGAGCTCTTCTTTTACAAATGACCCCAATCCCAGTTTGCTCTTCTACTCTTTCTTGCTTTCTTGAACAGCTGGAGGAATAAGTCTTATTCTGTCCATCAAAGTATCACTTCGAAGTTTATGTTTAAAATACCTCTGTCATGACCCTGTGGCATTCCTGTGCTATTATAGGTCCACAGGGATGGAGCTGCTTTACAGGAGAAACAGAGGGAGACCAGACCCACTCCATAGGTGTATCAGATAACAGCCATCAATGTCATGGCCCATTATCAAACATTGTCATCATTATATTCAGCAAGTAAAACCCTCTCCTGAGACTCCTATTCCAAAGGTAAATTGTTCCTGTGATTACTTCTGTCTTTTATAGCAAAACAATGGGTAAGAATTTAAAGGCCAGTTATGTGCTTCAGGAATTGATCCTAATCCAAGGATGCATGAGCTGTTGCTGACATCCAGCTAGTGGTCCAAATAGTGTTGCACAGGTGTAACTAAAAACAGAATTGGGTTCCTTGAGTGAGTCCTCAGCTGTTGTAACCTGACTTAGCTCCATGGACTTCAAGGGAGCTACATTGATTTATACAAGCTGAGCATTTGGCCTGTTATCACTCTACAGGGGACATAGTTCCACAGTGTTTTAATTCATGTGAGTTACACAATGTATTTATTTCATTGTCTAATTGTTTATATACACATCCTACTGAAAAAATGTTTTATTTGAACTTAAAAAATGGAAATGTGGCAATAAACTGTTATAGTTACTTGAACCCTTGAAAGTATTTTTTCCCATTAGAGGTAGAGTGGTGTAGCATTTAGATTTCAATAATTATTCAGTTAACTTGTTTCTATTAACTAATTATGCATATAAAAATTACCCACATTTAGCTGTGTTATGTATGTAAAGACAATACTAGAAATGAAACTCACCAATTAAGCCTTAATAGATTTTAGAATGGCTTGTGTTAGTGAAATTAGTACTTTTGTTAGTTGTAGTAACATTTTAGCTGTGTATCAGCAATAACAAGGTCATGCAAGACAGTCAAACATTTTACCAAAAATTGATAAGCATACACATTGTTTCCATTTAAGGCATGATCCTTCATCCACCATTACTCTGAATGAGCCAAGGGCCTTTTTCCAAACCTTTCATTCCATACAATAAAAAAACCAAGCACACAATGTAGTATTTCTTTTTCTAATAATAGCAATAAAAAGATTTTGTTTAAATGTATCCACTATATGTACTGTTGGTACATAATGTAATGGTGATTCCATAATAAAATATAATTGTGTTTAATTTTAAGCCATAGCTGGGTGATTTCTTTCCTTCAGTCAACTCTCCAAGGGTCTTCTTACGGAATATGAAAAATGGATGCTGCTAAATTAGCCACTACACATGTTTTTTGTAAGAGGGTTTGGCACACATGAGATCACTGACAGTAAAGATTAGAGCAGAATTAGTGCACATGCACTTTTTGTGCTCCATGCTCCACATATTTCACATCAACACAACCCACTCCCAATCGCTTATCTTGTAGATTTATTTTGACTTGATTAGCAGCAGTAAAGTTAAAGCAGAACAACAGTGTATTATGCATACTGGCGCTCATTAATTTCAAAGGCAAAGGCCAAAGTAAAATTTAAAAAATTCAAATTGTACTTCTTATCTCCAGTTTACCAGCCATCCACAATTACATGTAATTAATGCTCAGTGAAGCATAAGGTTACGTAAGTTAACTAATTGAATGAGCACATTTGGAGATGACATATAATATAACACCTTCCTAATCCCTAGAACTCAAGGGGTCTAAACCCACAATATGTGGGTGGTTATGTGCAATGTCAATAACCAGTGCTCTATGCACAGGTGGAACAATAACAAACAAGATATATTCAGGATTTTTATTAAATGTAATTGTGTTCTAGGACAAAGGATGAAAAAATAAAGAAAAGATGCTCAGGCAAATATGACAAATTACTTTCTTTCTATGTATCTACCTTTATTTCCCCTCCAAACAAATTCAGAATTCACCTGTAATATTTGTGTCAAGTTTTAGTTGCAGTAGGTTCAGAGAAAATGGTTTCTATGTTCTTGATGTGATAATATATTTAGAATTCAGAGATCACTTTCCTGTCCTCCCCACTTCTTCCCCCTCCCCTACTAGGTTTACTCATGAAGACTCCAATCCAGTAAGCACTCAGGCAGCACTTTACTCATGTGTCGTGTCCTGGGGAGGTAGCTGTAATTTCTATCGAAATAATGCCTAATCCTCCCTTTGCAAAGAATTGCTGTTCTCACAGGTGCAACCCCTTCCTCACAAAAACCCTCTGGACTTTATTTCCAAATGGAAGTTAACTATTGTGCTCCTTCTTTCTTGATGAAATGTCTATCCATTTATACATCTTGACTTATGGCAAGCTTCCATGTCGAAACTCCTTGGGCATGTCTACACTAGACCATCACCATAGTGACAAACTATGATGTCATAGTGTTGGCGGACACTAACTGTGACACTGCTGCTACCATGCAGTAGCAACAAGCAACTGTGCTGTGATTCATTGCTACGACACAGTAGGATCAAAAATGACCCATGTGCCACCAGGACTGTGCAGTACCTGCCAGTACTTGCTAGTACTAAATGCAAGTATTAAATGCCTGTACTAAATGTACTTGCTAGTAGGGCTGTGTGAAATGGCACCGTTCTGTTTTGACTTGCATTTCAATGGAACAGTGTTTCATTTTGAAGTTCGTTTCAATTCAAAACTGCTGTTCTGTTTTGCCAAAACAGTTTTTCTGTTTTGATGTTTCACCCATAGGCTATAATGGGGAAGCTTGAAATAGCCTATAACTTTGTCATTTCTCGCCTGATTTGGATGAAACTTGCAGGAGTGGTAGCCTCTTCTGAGGGCATGAAGCTTGCCAAGTGTCAAGGAGATAGGTGCAGAGACTTTAGGGAAACTGCACCTCAAAGTCTTGGAAACAAAAAACTCATGTCACGTGTATGTGTTAAGCCACAGCAGGGTCAAACTGCTAGCCCCTGTTGAGGCAACGAAGCCTGCCAAGTTTCAAGGAGATAGGTGCAGGGGCTTTGGGGAAACTACACCTCAAGCTGCTGACAAGCAAAACTTGTGAAATGGGTGACACTGTGTGTGTTGAGGTGCAGCAGGGTGTAAGCTGCAGGCTTGCTAGCCCCCACTGAGGCCATGAAGCCTGCCAGCTGTCAAGGAGATAGGTGCAGGGGCTTCTGGGTTCTGGGGCCCTGCACCTTTGGCTGCTGACAGGCAAAACTCGTGTCATGGGTGGGTGACACTGTGTGTGTGTTAAGCCTGTCAAAACCCAAGGGTGTGATTTTGTTCGTGTGTGCTTCAGCACTGCTAAATTATTTCCCGCCACTCGGAGCTTTCTTTGCAGGGTGCATTTCTTAGTTGCAAAGAGAAATGCATGGTGCAAAGGAGTTCCCGCCACCCGCATGCAAATTTGTGTCCCACTATTGGCCAGTTCTAAATTATTCCCACATGGCGGCTAGCGATTGGCTTGCTAGCCGTATAAGAGGCTTGAGCGGTTTCCGCCCAAGTTGGAGAACTCCGAGGAGAACCCCGCAAGGGAGGACTCCACAACCATCTGGAGGAGGAGGGCTTCACGTCTCGTGAAGAACTCTAAGCACCGCGGAGTCTAACGGACCCAGCGTGTACCTTAAGAAGGCTATAGGGGTCTGATCAACCTCTGGCCTCTCCCTGTCAATGAACGATCCCTCGACGAACCCCTTCCCTGCGCGCAAGTTCCACGGAGCCTAGCAAACTTCGTGTGAGTGTATCCAGAGCTCT